TAATAAGCAATAAATATGTGCTTCTTAGAAGCATTTGGTATTTTGCCTAAACAGGTAATATTAGTTAATATAAAGCTTGTAAGTTTGTAAACTGCAAATGTAACTTGTCTGTCATAAGTTTAACCAAAATGATAAAATTAACTGTTTGTGGAACTGACTGGGCCCCATAGGCAAAGCTGTAGCTACAAGATTAGGAGACCTAACAGTTTTTTGCTCAGGGTTCAGCCTTGATGATAAAACTAGATCCAACTGCCTGGCACACCCAACACATTCCAGGAAAACACATCCCAAGAAAGCATATTCAAATGAAACCTAAAAGGGGTTGCGGCTTAGGCGGAGCAATGTCAATTTCAAACCTAAAGGTGCTGCATCATAATTTGTTTATTGGATAAACCCGAGTCTGGGTAGTAACCTTTTATGATAATTTTAACACCTTTCAATCCCATAGGGTAACAGATATAGGGTAACATTGTGAGTGGCTCTAAAGCCAACATATTAGCATAAAACTAGGTATAAAAAGCACGTGCATCAGGTGATCAGCAGAAAGGAGGGAACAGAACGGTCATTTCTGTTCGATGCCCGGACCCCAGACCCTCGGTGTGAGTGAGGATCGGATCCTGATCAAGGGACCTTCCCCAGTATTCCTTCTGACAGTGTTGATCGGGGATGCCTAACTTCGCTGGAATCACTTGACATGCACCTGGCATTGAGGGACCATCGATAAGTTGCTAGCCCATGTCTGCCTATCTGTTGTTTTGAACAGCCCAGTGGCTAATACCCTCGCAGTGCCCAGTTGGCCTGCGACAGAATTGATCCATCTATCTATCTGTTGTTATTATCTGTTATTTACTATTAGCTCTTTAATACTGCATTATCTGCTTATCGCATTTATCTTTCTGTTAACTGTTGTGTGTGTGTAAGCTATAATAAATTTGCCTTCACTCCCAACTTTGCCTCCTTGATCTGAAACTGAATCAAACAGCCCAGTTGGCCTGTGATAAAATTGATACACTCACAGTGCCCAGCTGGCCTGTGAAATGGGGGTGAGCAGTAGCAGGGAGCAGGTGCTGGGCTTGCTGCCAGGAACAGCCAGGCAGCAGCCCTGGGGAAATGTCAGGGCTGGGGGAGAAGGGATGGGGTGGGTGCAGCAGGCTGCAGCCTCTTACAACACCCACCTGTGGCCAAGCAGCAGCTCTGGCTAGATGACAGGACTGGCAGAGGCAGCCTGGATCCTGTCCAGGAGGGTACACAGGGCCTTCATTGCTCCAAAGTCCTGGTGTGTACACCTCAAAATGGCTAGAGGCTTTTATAGGATAAGAAAAAAAATGAATTTCATCAGAAGCAGCAGCATGTAGTAGTTCAACCGAACTCCGCAGCAGCTGTATAGATCAGATGCTTCAGGAGGGCTATTTGGTCCTTTTATCTAATAGCTGATTCAACCTGGGCACGTGGCTGTACTTGGTGTGAGGGCACACCAAGTTGAAAGTAAATCACTGGATTCTCCCCCACCCATGTCTGTAAGTCGTAAAAAATTTTCAGAAGGTAATTAGTTGTTAGAGCAGTTAGGATCTGGAACAGCCTTACAACAGGCGCAGTTGGGGCACATGACCCAATTAGTTTTAAGATGCAAATCTATAAACTATATATAGTGTGGCAACAGCAAGACACCCTGTGACCTGGAAGGTCCCTTCCAATACTATGCTCCTTTATACCTAATTGTTAGTAAGAGAGATTAATACCAAAAATTAGCAAAATAAATGATTCCATGAATAGTTTGAGAGCAAATCATGATGAAAATCATGATCTTTTCACCAAGAGAAAAAGTGGTGGGTTTTTTCCAAATATCTTATCCATTATAAAATAGTCTCCAGATGCTACTGTGTGTCCTAAGTAGCATAGGCAACTGGTGCCTCCTGAGCAGCCAGTCAGCAACCAGAGGAGGTCCCCCCACAGTTGCATGCACTGACCCATAAATTCCAGCAGTGCACCCAAAAGGGCCAGGGGCACACCCGGAAGTGCCAGCAGTGCTCCTGGTGCCCCCACTCCCTGGCCAGCAGCCGGCACTCTCAGGGGGGCACCATCACTCCTGCTTGCCTCCCCTGCCGTCCATCACCTAAGCAGGGATTGCTGGCTGTCAGGGAGTGCACCAGGGGGTGCACGTGCACCCCTTACGTGTCACCACTGAACAGTAGCTCAGTATACCAGTCATTACACTTTTAAATGTTGCTTTCTGCATGCTATGTGGTATGAATAATGCCTCTTTATATTTCACAGCCCTTTGAGAACTGTTGGTGTTTTTTTCCATTCCTGTTAAAGTTGCACTTTCAAACAAAATCTACCTGTAACAAGGCAAGTTAGTCTCCCTGGAAGAAAATTACGTATCACTCAAACAGTTGCCTGTATCACAAATGGTTTAACAGTAAGATATTCTTATTTTTATTCACATATTCATTTATTCCTTTGGTTGAAAATGAAGCTTTCAATGTGCATTTTAGATAGTGGGTCAAAAATCACCCCTGCAAAGAAAAGTCAAGGAAGATGATCCAGGTTGTTTCTGAAATTAATTTTGCTCATTGTCCCTGTTGTTGTCAGAAAAAAATGTACTCTTTCAGCCATCTAAGTTGGAAATTTGCAGCTGGCTAGCACCAGAATAAAAAATTACTAGGAAAAGACACACAGGGGACATGGAAAGTGTTTTTAGGATAAATATATGAACGCCTAAGGGTAACATTTGCCATTTAACAACATCTTAACTAGGAGCTACAAGCCTGACCAGTGGGCATGAGCCAAGAAGCAAACAAAATAATCACGGGCAAAAGAACATTTTGTATAGTAGAATGCAGCTGAACCTGAGAAACCCTGAGAAATGAATGCAAGAAGCTCGAAAGGAAGATTAAGATAAATAACTTTTTTCCTGGTACATAAAAGAACAAACGGTCAGTAATGTAGATAGAAGAGCCTTTAAGGAGATCACATGAGTAAATTTATTGACAGAAGAGGAAGGCACTAAATTGCTAAAACAATTAAATGAATTTTACATGCAGGTGTTAGCAAAGGAGGATAGATGACAAAAACAGACAAATTTCCCAAGGGGGAAAAGAAGAAAAAGCACTGCAGAATATACAGACTCCTCCAGAACAAGATGTGAGGAACAAAAAACTATGGGGTCATATAGGCTGTATTCCTCAGGATGATAGAGGAAGTGGCAAAAATGGGAGCAAAGCTGAGATAGGATAGCCCTCTGCTGTTGAATTCTTTTCTTTGCAAGAGGTTTGTCAGCTGAAACTTCTAAAACATATATTTATCAGATAATCAAATTTAGGTTTTCAGTCCAGCCAGTCATATTTCATTGCTAGCCATAGATGTCCCTAACCTTCTGTAAATTAGATGAGCTTAAAGTGAAAATTTAAAGGACCATGTCTTCATCTGATATACATTTGCATAGCTTCATTGAATTAAACCAATTGAAGATCCTGTACAGACATGTGCCACATTTGAATAAGGAGCATTAGAAGAAGCAAAGCACCTGGTGACACGGAGACTGCCTGGCCTGATGATGCATGGATCAGGACCTGTGGAGAATCACATGCCATCGGACTGGGCTGGCTCCATGCCTCCATGTGCAGCTCCCCACTGAAGTGCTAGAAGCCCCACGTGGAGGCACAGAGCTGGTCCACCCCAACCTGATGGCACATGGCTCTTGCCTGCAGTACTGGAAGACCCACATGCTGGCACAGAGCTAATGCAGTCTGGTTCAAATGCACACACCAGCAGGTTGGGCCAGGATGGCTCTGTGCTGCCAGGTACAGATCCTGGGACTCAGTCAGAGCCATGCACTGGTGAGGAGCCCTGCCTGCTGTGGCCCATGAGCACCCTGAGGGCCTGCCACCTGCTGCTGCTGCCACCAATAGCAAGGGATGTGCACCATGGGGGGGAGGAGTAGCAAGGGACCCACACCTACCCACAAGCCCTACACCCACCCCCTCACAACCCCCACAGACATCCCCACATCCATTCACAGATCTTCCCACAAACCCCACACACGCCCACTCACACCCCTTCACAAACCCTGCACACACAAACCTCCCCCCACAAATGTTACACACACACATCACATCCACCCCTCAACCATACTCCACACACAATTTAAAAAAGTAAAACTATTTTGAGTTATTATGCAATCATCTCTATATACACTATGCAAACGCACATAAATCAAGACAATAATATTTTTCAAAATAAAATTAAATATATTATAGTAGGTGTTTGATTTTTAGTATATGATTTGGGGGGTTTTTCTGGTTCCAAGATGGCAAACCCCTCTCCCAGAAGAACTACTTCTAGGGGTGAGGGGAGGGACTTCCAGTGGCAAAGATAAGGGTTTAGGGGTGGTACTTCTGGTCCCCAAGATGACGATCAGGGCACAGAGCACCTGTCAAGGGGCAGGGCTACCCTTGTGGCCCTCAACAACTCACCATAAGTTGTTAAGTGGCCCTCCAGCCAAAAAAAATGCCCACCCATGCTTTAACTGCAAGATCAACCTTCTTGCTATGGAGGCTATTAACATTTAATGTAGAAAGTCAAGGATCCAACAGTGGAGCTCCTGCAGTCACCTGTAAAGGGCCCTTGAAGTAATGTTACCACCCAATTTACAAAAAGGCAAACAATTTCCCAATATTGATAAATGAGCTGCTGCTTAAAAAAACCCATGATGCTTAGCTAATAAAATGATGGTAAAGAGGACTATTATATTTCCAGAACAAGGAAAATGAATGCTATTATTATCCAAGAACCTGTCAAGCTAGGCTGCCACCTGGCAAGTCAACAAAAATGAAAAAGAAGCGATCATCAGTAATTGGATGGTGCCCCACTTAAAAAGATGCTGGTATAAATCTCTCATCAGTGGTGAAAGGGCCATCATACACATCTTCCCAAACACAGTAAACCCTACCCACTCATCACACAATACGCCTAGCAGGCCACAGAGCACATACCCATGTCTGCCAATACTCCTCCCAATTATTCAATACACAACCTTTACAAGGTGTCTTAAACAGGACAATCTCACTTACCTTTAGTAATTACTGAAAAAGTGACCATACATTTACCTGATGGAATATAGAGATGTCCAGTAGCGACATATTTCTGAAGGCTTGGAAGAATATAGGAAGGTTTTCCATGACATGCTGGGCTTTGTTTAAAAGAGAGCTGATGCTAGAAACTAGATCCAACAAGGTGTTAAGCAAGTTATCTACCTCAGAAGGGATCTCGACCTTGAAAGAGAAAAAAGGTAGATGTGACTCCAATCAACCACACAAAATTTAACCTATCATTCAATTAGAGGCTTATAACTTCTTTAGTCTCTTTCATGTGCTGTTTACAGGAGCCCCAGCAAACAGTTTACGCAAACCCTATGGTAGCCTACATACAGTTCAGTAAGGGTGTATCTACACATCACCATGCTTTTGTACTTCCTTTTCCAAGTACTGAAGCATGGCACAGTATGGGTGGTTATTGCACCATGCATGTGGTGCATGGTTAGATTTCACCACAGCAATGCACTACAACAAGGGAGTGTGCTGCTACAGTGACATAACTGTTGATCACATGTAGACCCACATGATCGTTATGTTGCTGTAGCGTGCCATACAGCGAGATAGCATGTCACTACGCCACCATAGGGTGATCTGTAGGCAGACCCCAAGTGTCCCAAGTTCAGCCTAGACAAAGTGTGCATTACAGTCAGTTTTAACTCCTTCCACTTGGAATCAAGAACCTGCAGAGCATCCTTCTCCTCATCCAGCTAAATGGATCTCTTTTTCTACTCTGTTGATTTCCATGTGTGTAAACACAACAGGTGTTTTTCCTGCCACTGAATCTGGATTTTACCCTTATGCTAATTTACCACTTAAACATTAATTTTAAAGAATTCAGAATTCATTATTTAAAATTGACTTACCATTTCAATCATTTTTCAAGTCAGCATTTGACTTAAATCCTCTCCATCCCTACTAGTTCCTCACTTCTCTCCCTTCACCCCACTCGGCATCTCCACCTCCCCCTCCCACCCCACCTCCCCTTCTGATCCATTTTCCAAGCTCAGGTATGCATAGAACTACAATAAGCCAGCAATGCTCGTTTCTAGATGACAGTCCCACGTGGGCAGCGAGTGGAATAGTACTATGGTCCAGATCACTTAGGAGTCTATGTTCCATTAGAACTTAGATTATATTGAAAGTTTTATCCAGCTTCAGCCTTACTGATCTCAGATTATTCTGAATCCTATTAGCCTGAGCCAGTGAGTCTAGCTGGAGAAAAAGACACTTGATCTCTTTGCTTGGTGCTATTTGCAGAGTACAAGAAAGGAAACCCCAGTGCTGTGTTATGCATTGGAGAGGTAATCCTTCCAAGAAGAAATCTTGGATTGATTTTATTCAACCCATACACTTGAGTACTGTTGTAACTCCCATGTTTTAGCTAAAACTTGGAATTTGGAACAAAAATATGCTACTGCCAGAGGGGAAGAAGTATTCCAAAACCTGCTGGACTACCACGGCAAAGAATACTTTCAACTTCTTTGTGCTGTGAGTTAAAAGAATGATTCAGGTAATGGTAGTATCATGGAGTGCCATATTTATTCTCCCAAACAATGCCGCACTGAATTTCATAAAGTAAAAATGCAGCTAATTTAACTGCCAGAACTGTACACTCAGCCAGAAATTTTAGAGGGGAGGAAAAAAAAAAAATCAAACTATTGTTTATGATCACCTGCAGAATCTCCAGAATTCCCCGAATTATTACTTGATTTACAATTTTATGGGTGACAGAGAACATGACTGGCAATGCAGCCCCATTCTTCAAATCACTCCATTGGCTCCACAGTACTAAATGAGGTTGCAGGAAGTTCAGTAGGGGCTGTGTTTGGATTTTACCGGGCTAAGGGTCTATAGCAACACAAAATGATAGCAGCAGAATGGATAGATAGTAAATGATATATTTATAATTCTAGTTGACATCTCTAAAAGTTTTCCAAAAGTTCAGGAATTAAGTATTTGCTTCTCTTACCTTATAGATGATATTACGCAAGTTCAAATTCTGAGCAATCAGTACAGTCATAGTATACAAGTCCAGCGCTGGCAAAGTACAAAGTTCTTTCACTGCCTGAGAAGTTTTGTCATTTCCAGGAAGGGTCAGCAAAAGACTAAGGACCTCCTTGTCACATCTTCCAGCTAATGCTACTGTAAGAACACTGTAAAGAAACTGTTGTAATGAACTGTAATTAACGTTCATCTTTCATGAAATGTATCAAGAATTTTTACATTAATAAAGTAGAAATGTGTGTCACCAGGTTATTTCCAATAACCATCAATAGTACGGGAAGCCAGAGACTTACATAGCTTTATATCAAGATATGTTTATATTTTATCTTATTTTTGTGTATAAATTGGTAAAAAAAAAAATACATATATCATAATTTGTCATAGAATCATAGAAAATTAGGTTTGGAAGAGACCTTAGGAGGTCATCTAGTCCAACTCCTTGCTCAATGCAGGACCAGCCCCAACTAGATCATTCCAGCCAGGGCTTTTTCCAGCTAGGTCTTAAAAGCCTCCAAGGTTGGAGATTATTCTACCACTTCTCTGGGTAACCTGTTCCAGTGCTTTACCACCCTCTGAGTAACAAAGATTTTCCTAATATCCACTCCAAACCTCCCTTACTGCAACTTGAGACCTTTGCTCCTTGTTCTGTCATCTGCCACCACTGGGAACAGTCCAAATCCATCCTCTTTGAAGCCACATTTCAGGTAGTTAAAGGCTGCTCTTAAATCCCACACAACCCCGCCCCCCGCAGCCTTCTCTTCCCCAGACTAAATAAGCCCAGTTTCCTCACAAGTCATGTGCCCCAGCCCCCTAACCCTTTTTGTTGCCCTCCACTGGACTCTCTCCAACTTGTCCACATCCTTTCAGTAGTGGGGGGCTCAAAACTGGACAGTACTCCAGATGTGGCCTCACCAGTGCAGAATAGAGGGGAATGATTACTTCCCTCAATCTGCTGGCAATGCTCCTATGGTGGGCCAGTAGTGGGTGCTCTTGCATTAAGCCACCTACCTCACTGTGCCCGACAACCTTCCAGGCTCTGAGTGTCTCCCTGGGTGCACCTCATGTCTGGTCGACCCCCTTCCTGGAGCACACCTGCTAGCCTGGGGGTAGAGCTGCCACCACCCAGGGATGGGCTTGATTCTGGCTCTGCACCCCCTGGGAAACGCAGGGATAGTAGCCCTCGAGGGTACTTGACTCACCTCCAGAAGTTGGGATGCTTCCCTCAATTGGAAGCACAAGTAGTGGTCTCCCTTAGCCAAACCAAGGGGACCCCAAGGCATAATCTAGACCCACTCTTAATAAGTCTCCCACTCTAGGTACAAAGGAGAACTTTATTGGTTAAAAGGGGTAGGGTTGAAATAGGGTACAGAGTTGAGCAGTATCAAAGAAATCCCTTAGAGCAAACAGGGTGGCTGGAGTAGACTTTGATCACCCATCTGAGTTACTGCAAGCTATATATCTAGTTAGATCTCAGGTAGCTTACTCACAAGTATCATCCAGAGGCAGATGGAGATTCCCTCTGGAGGCAGGAAGTTCGTTGATCATGAGTTTTGAGAGAGAGAGCAAGTTTCAGATGGTCCAGCTCTTCTCTCTCTCTCTCAGAGTTTCCCTCATGGCTGCTGCCCCCTCCTCCTGGGCAGTCCTTAACTTATATAGCCCTTATGACCTCATTTACCTGGTCCAATAGAGGCCAGGACCTGTTGGCTGTCAGCCAACCAATTTGAAATGCATCACTAGTTGCTGGGCAGACTGTCAGTCTCTAGCTCACCAGGGAGCCCAAGACCCTCACCCAGGTATGTGATGCTAGTCACAAAGGCAGAGGGAGCGGGTTTCCCCCCTCTTTCCGGAATATATCCAGCTCAGGTTACCTAAAGAGATAAGGTAATTGTCACAGAGTAGAGTTTTTGGGGAGAAACAGAGGTGGTCTTCTGCCACAGCTCCTACTAATGCAGCCCAGTATGCTGTTAACTTTCTTGGCAACAAGGGCATACTGTTAACTCAGATCCAGCTTCTTGTCCTGCCCAGGTCCTTTTCTGCAAAGCTACTGCTTAGCCAGTTGGTCCCAAGCATGGGATTTGTTCATCCTAAGTGCAGGACTTTGCACTTGTCCTTGATGAACTTCATGAGACATCTTTTGGCCCAATCCTCCAATTTGTCTAGCCCTACCTTCCAACATATCTACTACTCCCCACAGCTTGGTATCATCTGTGAACTTGCTGAGGGTGCACTCCATCTCATCTTTCAGATCGTTAATGAAGATTTTAGACAAAACTGGCTCCAGGACCAACCCATGGGGCACTCCGCTTGATACCAGCTGCCAACTAGACATCGAGCCATTGATCACTACCCACTGAGCTCAATCCAGCCAGCTTTCTATCCACTTTACAGTCCATTCATCCAATCCATACTTCCTTAGCTTTCTTGTAAGAATGTTGTGGAAGACCGTATCAAAAGTCTTGCTAAAGTAAAGGTATATCACATCCACTGCTTTCCACATTAATCAATCTATCATTCAATCAGCAGGCACTCACCTCACAGATACACATACAACAACGAAAACATGCTTATCAAATCAGTTTCATAAAAATACACACTTCATTCTGAGGAAACACCTAAAAATAAGCCAAGGATTTGCATGTCACTATGGTCAAAGACTCAAATCCTATTGTATACATACATACTGTAAGGGCCCCAAATTCAAAGTGCTCACTCAATCTAAGATTTAGACAATGCTCAACAGACAAACAGACACATGCATCAAAGGGAAGGTCAAGATAACTGTAAATGCAGATGTATTTCCTTTATTTCCTAGTACTACAGTGCCATCCATTAAGAGAGTAATGCTTCTAACATGGTTTGGCTTTTTAATTGCCCAGGAAACAGAAATTTCCATTCCCAACCACCTGTATCCCATACCACTTGAGGCATTATCCTGTAGGCTAAAGCAAACTCTTTGAACTCTGTCAGGAAATCCAGAAGTTGGTGCATCTTTGTGCGCATTAGCATTATACACCCTTAGCACAGTGTACTCAGTAAGTGAATAGTCATATATTTCATGAAGTTTCTGAAGGCTCATAAGGTATAGTCCCATGGTAATGTGCATCACCAGAGTCTAATCTTAAGGTGACAAAAACAAGGATAAATGTAGCAAGGTCACTATACAAAAAGCTTAGTCATATTCTCCCCCCACAAATGCAAAAGAAAAAATAGTTCATTTATAGCATAGGCTGTTCCATATCATAAACATACAGGGCTACACAAAAAAACTGCACTTGAAAGAGTATGCTTGCAGCTCATATAGCATTAGACACTTATCACTGTGCTTCAGTTGAATCATGTGTATTTAAGTACTCATTTGCATGCGCAAGTGTCAGTGTGAACATGCAAATATGTGCACAGATGTGAGTATATGTACAGAGTTTCCACAAGTATATTTGAAAATTCTGCCCATTACTATTTATTATTTTAGGAGAACAAAGTCTTACAAGTTCACTATCAAGTTTCTCTTTTACTGGATCACTTCCAGGTGACTTCTCTTGTCTGAATCTACTATTAACAAAATAATGAACTAGTAATAATGGCAGTTACTCATATTGCCCAAGGAGCAGAAGAACAAACAGAAATCACCTGCAATTAGAGTTAGACTTGTCCTGTAAAATAATTTGCATAGAGAATGGCATCTTTCAAAGTCAAGCTTTTTATGGAATAAGCCTGCAGCTCCCTTTGCCTTGTGGAGCATCAGTGACATCCAGTGGCTGCTTGATTGATCCGATTAGTATAAGGCTAAAGCGCCAGAATACCAATTCATTCCCCTTTATAAGTATGTGTGTGTATTTGGAAACAGAACCTGTTGTCAGCAGACACCCTTTACAATTCACACAGGATACAGAAGAGGTTATACGACTCCAACTATCAAAGAAGGAATAGGCCATGAAAAACAGAGACAGAGATAACGACAGCAAGGCTCTTAAGAGAAGGACTCATCCTTTAAGGGAACACAAGAGGGCAGACTGCTGTCTGCACTCCATTCTTAGGCAGGACAATTTCTCCATGAAGCCTGACTATTGCTCTCCAGACTTTCCAGGTGGCAAAAGTTCAGATTCAATGCTGGTATAAATTGAAATGCCACTAGCAGAGATGGAGTTATACCCAGTTAGAGTAGCAGAGAATTTGGCCTGTGACACTTTAGAGCAGTAGTTTTCAATCTTTTTTTCATTTGCAGACCCCTAAAAAATTTCAAATGGAAGTGCAGAGCCTTTTGCGAATTTTTAAATGCTAGTGCAGACCCCTTTGAATTGCAATTCACGTACTTCTGATTGATCGTGGTCCTCTTTTGCGGACTCCTTAGACATAGTCTGCAGACCTCCAGGGGTCTGTGGACCACAGGTTGAAAACCACTGCTTTAAACCAAGAGGGATTGCAAAACGTATCCCATAGGAACCTGAGAAATGCCATACTGAGTTAGAACCACAAAGGACATCTACCGGGTATTCTCTCTCTCAGAGGGCCACAGAGTGATGCTAAGGGAAAGATGCAGGGTCTATCAAGACCCAACTGTCCCCTTCCTCTCTACCTTATAACTTCTAGCATCAAGAAGCCTAAGGAATTCTGATTTCAGGGCTCTATAATTCTGTTGTCATGTTTAATACCTGCTGACAGAACTATCAAGATTTTGTCCAATCCTCTGTTGAACCTGGTTAATTAATCATCTTCTGCAACATTTCCTGGTAATGAGTTCCTCCAGCTGACTATAGCAATGTGAAAAAGAACTTTATTTTATTAGCTTTCAACCTGTTTCCTAATAATTTCTTTTATATGTCCCCTAGTTCTAGTCTTGCAAGAGGCAGTAAACAGTACATTCTTTTTTCTCCACCAGTCATTATTTGCATAGACTTCTGTCATATCTCCTCCTCAGTTATCTTTTCTCTAATCTAAAAAAGTTTTCCTCTTTATAAGAGAGAAAAAGGAAATACATTATTTAAACATTCACCATCTTAGAGTTTCCAGCAGACTCTGAAATGTGTCCTAGGTTCTTCTGTGCCAGTATCACTGCCCCCCTTAATGCCCTGATATCATTTTGAATTGCCAAAATCCTCATAATTTTCCATAGAAGAATGATGTGAAAATATGAAAGCCTACACAAGATCAACTAAGGCCGGTGGCATACATACAAATAAGTATGTAATGGGGTCTGATCCCAGATCCCAACAATCACACCTTCTCCCACACCACACATAAATAGCAGGATGTGCAATTATGGGCAAGATCAGAGACAGATCCTAGTCACTACTGCCTGCAGCCTTGCTGTCAGTTCCAGGGATGAAAGGCTCCCCAGAGAGGAGGAGATGAGGTGCTAATCCTACTCAAGAGTTTAAGTCCCCCTTCCTAGCAGCTTAGCCAGGACTGCTGGGCATGAAGAATCAATGCTTCCAACACAAGGTTTAACCTCAGGCAGAAATGAGGGGGTCCCTATGCTTGAGAATGTAAAGCCTCATGCCCATCAGCCCTGTGGGAACTGGAGAATCAAGTCTTCCAATAAAAACCTTAGGGCAGGGAGAACCTCAGCTCCACCCACCGAAAGCCAGGTTCCTCTGCATCCAGCAGTCCCAACAGAGCTGTCGGGCACTGGTGTCCAAAATATCCAGCATAGGAAGCCCCTCAGCTTCTCCACTTGGACCAAGGCAGCCCCAGGCCAGTTGGAGACCGGCTGGTTTTCTGTTTTATAGTGCCTTAAATTAGATGAATGTGAAGCACCTTAAGGAGGCATTTTATAGGTCAAGATGTTCATCCAACCTATTTGTCATCTTGTACCTTGGAATGTGAGCCACTCCCTTCCAAGATGACGTCTATGGTTTCTTCAGAGATATTGACTGAAGAATGAAGTTGCAGAGTCAGTTCAGTAATGTTCTGCACCAAGTCTTTGATTTTCACATCTACAACATAGGAAAGAATGCATCCTCAGTGCCACACCCAACTGCTGAACTCAAAATGCCACTCAGCCATCCACTTCCATATTTGGGGACATGAAAGAGCAGAATGAAGTCTCCAGGAACCACTATTTCATTGCCTCACCAGTCCTACAGAATTCACAGTCAGGGTTCTGAGGTATATCACATCTACCTGTGGAGCAGGTCAAGAAGGGTGCTTAATGCTAAATAACTAATCCACTGGTACATAAACTATCCCCCCAAGACTGTTCAGGAGAGACAACCTAAATTGCTGAAGTCAATCTTCAGCAGGGATCCAGGTTTTTCACTCACCATGGAAAATGCAGAAAAATGCAGATTTCCCCTTTTTAGGGATAAAAACATGGCTTTTTGCCCTTTGAAGGCAGGTTCCCCCTTGCAGGCTGGCTGAGTTCCAGCCTAAAACGGGGTTGCTTGGGGTTGGGGGGAGCTTGAGGAGGGTGATCAGGCAGAGGGCACAACGTACATGTGTGCACACATGCACATGACAGCCAGGCAGTGTGGAGAGCAGCTCCCACAACTTCCCACAGGTAAATCTATGGATGTGGTAGACTGTGGACCCCATGGTGAGGGAGGAAATAGAGCAGGGCTGGGATACAGGGTGGTGCATGGGGCCCAGGGCCCAGGCAGGAATGTGCGGCTGTGGGGCCCAGCCTGGGAACGGAAGAGAGCCATGGGTGGCTCATCTGGGGGACCCAGTTTCTCGCCACTGCATGCACTCTTGTGGATGGGAGGCATGGGAATAGTACATGCACCCCAGATTTGTGAGAGTGTTGGGGGCAGATGTGGGCTGCCCAATACAGGCTCACGGCTTCCTGTCTTGCTGCCCTCATGTCTCTGTAGGTCAGCGAGTGGGACCCAGAATGGGAAAGCAGAATGGGGTGGGGCTGCACCACCATGGTAAGGCAGCCCCTGTCTTCCTGGTAACCGCAGGGGCAGCAGCATGGAGTTATGCCCCGCCTCACTGCTGCCAGGTGGGCAGGGGTTGCCTCACTTTAGCAGCACAGCTGGTGCAGGGCTTCCAGTGGCAGCAGTGACACCAAGCCTCCCTGCCCTACTCCACCCTCCTGCACCAGGTCCCACCCACCAGACTGCAGAGGGCCCAAGGGGAGGGCAAAAGGATAGGGAGTCCTGAGGCTACAGCAGGCAGCCCACATCCTCCCTCCCCTCACAGGCTCTGCTCTGGCCATACCACCCACGGAGGAGGGGGAGCCAGGCTCTATGCTCCACTCTAGCCACAGCAGTCACCACCTCATGCAGGTGGCAGCCAGGGATCAGGTGCTGCCAGGGGCAGGGAAGGGCAGGGGTCTGTGGGCCCTGGCCTGATCCCATAGTTCTGGCAACTGGGGCCCCCTCTGGCAGGACTGGGCAGGTGGTGGGCTGTGGGTGGGGAATGAGGGGTACTGGCAGAGCCAGGGGCTGTAGATCAGAAGTAAGGGGCACTGGCAGGGCCCAGGGGGCTGTTGGTCGGAACTAAGGGGCACTGGCAGGGCTGGGGTGGGGGGGCTGTGCATTGAGAGTGAGGGGCAGGGCACTGGCATATCAAGGCAGTGCCACAAAGGGGGTGGGAGGGTGGTGAACAGCTGCAGCTAGACCCATTTCCTGGTAAGCAAAGTGGACAGGGGGAGCTCTGATTTTCTATGATAAAAAAAACAAAATCAAATGCCAAAAAATATGGATTTTTAGAATTCATTATAATGATTGGGGCACTGGTTGTTTTTTTAAAAAAACAAATTGCTTTAAAATTGTAAATATATTAATAAAACATTGTGTTCAACTGATAACTTCATATGTAGTGGTGTTTCATTTTAATTGCAGAAAAACACAGATTTTGGAGGTTTTTAATCAGAGAATTTGCCATTTTTAAATAGAGGAAACCAGGAACCCTAGTCTTCAGTCACTTAGGACAACTTGTGCTACTACACTGCAGATCTCTTTTCCTTTCACAGAAAGATTCCAGGATCATGTTACTGGGGAGCTTTGCTACCCTGGGGCCAAATTACTATGTGGGGAGACCAGGGACAGAAACAATTTATTCATAAGTTGACAACACACTAGCAAGCTAGTGTTTTCCACATACAGAATTATTTTACCTTTGTTAAGTTCGTTTCAATTTAATATTTGTTTTCTTGGCCTTTCAAACAAGCACACCGTGATGATCCATAAAACAGCAGCAGGGTTTATATTAGTTCCTATAAATACTCCATTAACTTACCATTCGGTAGACTGAAGTTACTGAGAAAAGTGGCTACTGAGTTTCCTGACAAAGATGCCTCCAGGTTTTCAGCCAATCTGAAATGACAATACTAGTTTCATAAGTTGCTATTTCTAAGTAGTGAAATATGATTGTACATCATGGATTACATGCACAGCATTTGTCAGTACTGAAGTGATGCCAGTTAGACAACAGGTAAGTGCTAAGAACCAGATTTTTCCTGCTGCTTGTACAGGTAAGCAGCAAGGTACTGAGATGGGCCCAGATGACCATGCACCTATACATACTGCACTGACCATCACACTCCTTCTTCTTATAGGGCCTAACATGGTCAATTGGACAAACTGGGGGTGAAGTAAAGAATTTAGTATAGATCACCCCCGAACTGGTGACCATTTAAAGAAAAAAAAAGGGGGCAAGCCCTGCCTTCCCAGTACAGTGTAAGTAATATCTATCATTGTCTACTCTCCCTCAGGCTGTTGGGTAAGAACAAAAACTATGACAAGACAGGCTTCAATCCCGCCAAGAGCAAAGCGCATCCTGCTGCTTGTGCATTCTGAACATCCCTGACTTGAAATTGACCCAAATAGAGGTTGCTTAAAACCTTTCAGGATCAGGGCCTGGAAATTTGGTTGATATAAGACCCACAACATGTAGATTGGAGTGGGCAAAGTACATCCCACAGGCCAAATCCAGCCTGCCAACTGCCTGGATCTGGCCTGCAGCTCTCCCTGCGGGGTTCTGCATGGAGCCAAGCCACACTCTTTCCCACCAAGACAGCCCACACCATGCTCCTGCCTCCTGGCCAGGTGCTGCTCTACTCCCCTCGCCTTCAGCAGAAGGCGCCCGGCTGAAGCTTCCCCCCGCCCTGCCCATTCACTCAGAGCAGCACAGACAGGGGCAGGGGCAGGAAGAGGAGCCACCACTGGAGGCGAGGGGAGCAGAGTAGCACCTGGCCAGCTGCAGCTGCACAGGAACAGCACTGCCAGCCCAGGCCCTGGCCAGCATGCACAGCTTCCAGTGGGGCTCTTCCTGTGCAGCTGCAGCCAGCCAGGTGCTGCTCTGCTCCCCTCACCTCCTCAGCAGCTCGACTTGCTCCTGCTGCACCACTCTGAGCAGTGAGGGAGCTTCAGCCAGGTGGCTCCTGCCTCAGTGAATGGGGCTCCAGCTCCTGACTGCCTCCCATCAATTCCACCTGCCTGGCACAATGAGCAGCCACCTGCAGGCAAGTGGAAGACAGGCTGGAGCTGGAGCCAGAGCTCTGTGCACTGGTGCAGGATCCACCCAGCTGAAGCTGACCTCTGCCCACCCAGAGCAGCACAGCAGGGGCAAGAGCAAGAGGAGGAACTGCTGCTGGAGCTGAGGGGAACAGAACAGCTCTGCCAGCCCAAGCCTGAGCCCCAGCCAGTGCACCCAGCTTCCAGTGGGGCTTTTTCCGGTGTGGCTGCAGTGAGCCAGGTGCTGCTCTGCTCCCCCACCTCCAGCAGCAGCTCCTCCTCCTGCTCCTTCCCGTGCTATGCTGCTCCAGGCAGGGGGGAAACTTCAGTGGGGTTGCTCCAACTGGAGGTGAGGGGAGCAGAGCACCTCCCACCCGGCTGCAGCCACATTGGGAACAGCCCTGCCAAAAGCTGCATTTTGGCTGGGCCAGGGCAGGGCCAGCAGGTGTTGGGGGAACGCAGCTCAGGTTTCCCTGGGCAGGGCTCAGCCCCATGTGGAGTGCCACAAAGGAAGCCATCCCCTAGTTCACTGCTCCCCACCTGCCAACAGCCCCATAGGGAGTTTTGGTGAGTTGTTGTGGGGAGGGGAGACACATGGGGTGCTGACCCAGCCCATGACAGCTCATCAAAACTCCCTGTGTGGTCCTCAGGCCCAAATCATTGCCTACCCCTGATGTAGATGCTTATGGGTGCAGACATAAATGCAGCTCCCACCTATAACTCAGAACAATTCCTGGAAAGCGTTCCGAGTTACAACATTACCCCAAACCAGACTTAAGTTCACTGTTGGTTCCAGGGGGAGGGGAATCTAGGTGCTAGCTGGGAGCCTGCAGCCAGGTTCCTAAAGCAATGGCCATGGCTCTCTGCCAGTACTCACTGTTTTCAGAATGGGAGGGGGAAAAGGTAGCGGAGGGAGCTCATTCTTGGGGATATCCCCTGGCTGGTGCTGAAAGGTGAGGCAAGTGAATTGGAGCCCCCATCCTCACCCCAGGGGGATGGGCTCCAATACACCCATTCCACCCTCCAGTGGGGGCTGAAAAAACCCCAGACTGAAATCCCTCTGTTCCCTTTCCCCCCCTCCCATTCTGAAAACAGTGGCAGGTTAGGAGCTCTGCAGACACAAGTTACAAAAGATGCTACGTTTTGAAATGTCTTTATCTAATACCTCATGCAATGAGGGGTCAGATTTTCATCCAATCAGCCATTTTTAAGTTGTTTGCAGCCACACTCTTATGTTCGGTCATGTCTATAAACTGCTTTCTGTGGCCAGATTGGGCAAAAATTGTCATTTACTCTTTGGAGAGGGCAAAGAGGGTGATTAAAAAAGCAGACCTTTTCACACTTACAGCACAAGTCATTGTTTACTGTTGCAAAACAGATGCCTCTGATAAGTATACAGTGCCCCCTTTCTCCTTTTTGGTCAGAGGATAGTCTGGGTACGCATAATTTATATTATAGCTATACAAATTCAATCCACACACATGCAAGGGACTACATAACTAGCCGTAACAAAAATAGTGCATAGCAACAGAAAAACAGACTTTACATTTGTACATGCTTCTGGATGTCCTCCAATATGAGCTGACATTCACAGCTGCTGTCAGTGGTGTTTTGTAAAGTTCTCAGGAAGCTATGCAGAGTACCAGAAAATTTCTTGTTTATATTTACAACATTCTCACAATCTCCTTGGTTAGAAATGGGCCACGTTTTTTCAATAACCTGCACAAGAAACAACCAAGTTAAAATTCATGCAATAGCTTTATTTCCTTGAAATAACAGGTCTACACCACTAAATATTGGGAAGATTTGCTTGAAAATAAAACACAAATAAAAAGACACAGCTCTTATCTTGTTATCTGATTTTTTTGTAAAGAAATGGGAAACACTATTTACCCAAAACCAAAAAATCCTAAGTGCACAAAATGCACAAAAACAATTAAGTTTTGGGACAACCCAAATTATTTATGAATCCAACCCAAATTCAGCAAAGAGTTTCAGATGAAAAAGCTAGGGGGTGGGGAGGTTAAAAACATCAAAACAAAACGTTTCAGCGTGTTCCAAATTAAATGTCTTGTTACAGAAATGCTGAAACATTTTGCTTTGATGTTTTCAAAATTAAGTGCTTCAATTTTATATTTCAGAATAAGATTTCTGACTTAAAATTGAAAGGGAAGAAGAAAGGTTCAAGAAATGGGTTAAAGAACCTGGAAAATAAACAGGATATTTTGTTTTGGGTCAAATGAAATGTTTCAGACTAACTTAAATTGATAGCCAGGGGGGAGAGCAGGAGGACATCCCTTTTCACAAAAAGGCCAAGAATATTTTTCTTTCCCTTTAATTCAAATACATTTTTCCCCATTTTTTCTCTTCCAGTACCAAACCAACAAAAAATAAAAATCAGTTGTGTGCTTAAATCCCTCCATAACCACATGCTCCTTGCATCATGCCCTACACAGAGTCTATTTATTCCTTTCAATTTTTTTCTTGCCTTTTTATTAACTTTGCCTTTTATATAGGTGCTTTTCTAGAACAGGTCTATTTATACATACGATGTTTATCTGCGTATGCATATATTTAGATATACAAGAGAAAAGTATTTATATAAAGTCTCGTTGAGCAAAATTCTACCCTCAGATCTGTTTGGTGGCTCTCAGTTCTGACAGCTTGCTCTCCTTAACATTCTCTGAACTCTCACTCACACCATTGAGTGCTCTGTGTTGACAGTGGAATATCAAGGCTGATATCCAAAAAGTAAAGAAAGGCAAATCCTGTATTAAAAGAATAAAGCTCATATTGCTGGAGGCCTCCAAGAGGCCAATTCTCCTCTCCTGAAGGCAACTGGAAAACTTACTGGAGCAAGATCAGGCCCTGGCTGAGGCCCTAAATGCCAAGCATTCATCTTTTGATCAGAATTTGTGTCCAGCATCAGAGATACAGAGAGCAATCCCTCTTGGCAAGCAAAATTAATCTATTTTCTGGGCGAGTTTTCTTATAGTCTGAATGACTCTGGTTGGAGAGCTTTCATTTGTACTGTGTTTGATTAAAGTCTTGCTCCTGTAAATGTCTAGCAATGTGAAAGCACCCAGGAGTACCATGGTGGTTCCATCAATAAATCTAAAGGAGTTCACCAGGGACCAGGAGTTCACCAGGGAATTGGCTGAGGCCGCATGCTCCCGGTCCATGGTTGTCATGGGAGACTTCAACTACCCAGACATCTCATGGGAAAAGCTTTCTCTAATGCATGGATGACCTCTATCTGACTCAAGAAGTCTATGGGCCAACAAGAAGTAAAGCGCTGTTCGACCTGGCACTGGCAACGGGGGACAACCTAATCAGTGACCTAACGATCGATGGGAAGCTGGGTGACAGAGACCACGAGCTGATCACCTTCACCATCCACCGTAAAGCTGGCAAGTCAATCAGCAATATAGAAGTCTTTGACTTTAGGAAAGCTGACTTTGACAAACTCAGGAGGCTTGTCAGTGAGGCCCTAAGGGACCACAACCCCAAGGGGAGGTGAGTTCAGGAAGAGTGGTTGCTCCTGAAGGGAGCAATCCTTGATGCACAAGCTTAGGCTATTCCGTCTTGGAGGAAAGGCAGCAAAAGGGCACAGCAGCCTCCTTGGCTCTCCAGGGAACTAGCAGACCTGCAGTGGCTAAAAAAAAGACCTACAAAGGATGGAGGATGGATTCCACCTCCAAGGAGGAATATTCCGCACTGGTCCGGTCCCGCAGGGAGCGAACCAGGAAAGCCAAGGCTACGACAGAATTTCAACTAGCTACAAGTATCAAGGACAATAAAAAGTCCTTTTTCAGATATGTGGGGAGCCGGAGGAAAAGCAAGGGCAACACTGGACCCCTGCTAAACCAGATGGGACAACTAACAACCGACGCCCAGGAAAAAGCCAACCTATTAAATGGGTACTTTGCGTCAGTTTTTCATCAGTCCCACAGGATGCCCATGCCCATTACGGGACAGGGAGGCCCGGGTGAGAGAGATTCCCTGCCCTCCATCAATGCTGACCTCTTGAAGGAACACCTTGAGAGGCTGGACACCTTCAAGTCTGCTGACCCTGACAATCTACACGCCAGAATACTCAAAGAGCTGGCTAGCATTCTAACTCAGCCCCTGGCATGGATCTTCAAGAACTCCTAGCACTCTGGTCAAGTGCCTGAAGCTTGGAAGAAGGTCAATGTGGTGCCTATCTCCAAGAAAGGGAGGAAAGTGGATCTGATAAACTACAGGCCCATCAGCCTGACTTCTATCCTGGGCACGGTCTTGGAAAAGATTATCAAAGAGACCATCCTTAACAGACTAGCTGACAGCAATATCCTGAGGGATACCCAGCATGGGTTTGTTGTGGGTAGGTCTTGCTTGACCAGTCTCATTTCCTTCT